CAGATTCGCATACCGCTAGTTTACAGTTCATAGAATTGCTCAAAACTTCTACATCGAAGTTCTTTTTGAGGCATAGTACTAGGATTGCTAAGGGGCTACCTTGCAATGGATGGTTTGACTCCGAATGCAAGCTAGCAAGGGCAAGGTCTGTTGATAGGTAAATGGTAAATGGTAAATAGATCAAGCCCGTGGTACCCAAGGGGTCAAAAGGCTAAAAAACACAATACAAACAATCCAACTCCAAACTAGGAGAGAACCAAAAGAACTCCCTAGCTAGTGCCCAAAGCACTAGAACGGTAACTAAAAATCTCTCTAATGTAACAACCTAAATCATAAGGCTCGAGGTATTTGGATATTCAAAGTCGGCTTCTTTTGACAAGGATATACAAAGACTTGGTGAAGTCTAAGAAACGAGCTTTCTTAAGACGAAAGCAAGAATCCTTGACAAAGGACCTGATGAAGGATCCCAAGTCCTTTTGGATACGATTAGCTACACCATCGTCAAAACCTTCTCTTGATTCCGAGTCTTTGGTAGCTTTTTCCGAAAAGCTCTATTTCTTTCCAGAAGCCACATCTATGCCATATTGCGAAGCAACAGCTCGATTATTTCGGAAAGAGAGGTGATGACTATTCTCCGAAAATTAGCAAATGGCAAATGTGAAGATTTAGATGGCTTGTCCATTGAACTTATCAAGTGGGGAGGAGATTGTATTGGACCGGTTCTCACTCAAGAGTGCGTCCAATTTTGAGTTTCGAGCTTTGAGTTTCAAGATTTGATGGCAAATACTCCAGCGTTCCACCAAATTTCAGCTCCATATCACTTCCAACGTAGAAGATACAGCTCCCGTAAGAATCTCTTGCCCTCAAATCTTGAAACTCAAAGCTCGAAAGTCAAAATTGGACGCACTCTGACTCTGAAACTCCGTTCTGTTTGGGTTGGAGTTGGAGTTGGATTGGTCGTATTGTGTTTTTTAGCCACGGGCTTGATCTATTTACCATTTACCATAGTTTTTTTTCATGTGGCTACTAGATGGCATAAGGGTACTGACAGATTATGTCCACTCTCAATATTTTTGAGGTGCCTTGTACGTTGAACTACTAAAATTAGAAACTCAAAATTTAAAATTTGCACAACTTCATTTATGTGCCTGAAAGTTTGCAATACTTTGCACTTTTTCTAATTCCATGATACTACAAAATTTGAGCTTCATTTGACACTCCACTTTGAAGATATGGTGTCCGCGAGATTGAGACTTCAGTTCTTGAAACTTGAAACTCAAATGGTAAATGATAAATGAAACTCAAAACTCAAAATTCACACTTCGTCTATGGATAGTTCTAGTTAGCTCTAGTTTGAAGGAAAGCTTTTGTTAGTTATACTTTTAGTTTTTCTTGCATAATGATTTTATAGGTTATGGAGTAAAATGTTTCTTTGACATGAATTAAATGGAAGACTATTAGGTTGTAAATCACAATCAAATGACGGATTACAATTTGATATACTCATTGCTTAGGATTTTGTCGGTAAATAGTTACCGACGGTTGTGATTTCAAAGGTGACAAAAACTTGCTCGTTCCTCCAAACACTACATAAGTGTTGTTTTCATGATGTTTTCTTAATTCTTGTGTTTATCAATTCTTAGAATTTGATTTTATATAATTTTTCAAGACTATTGATTAAAATATGGTAAATGGTAAATAGATCAAGCCCGTGGGACCCAAAGGGTCAAAAGGCTGAATCCAACTCCAACCTAGGAGAGAATCAAAAGAACCCCCTAGCTAGTGCCAAAAGCACTAGAACGGTAACTAATAACATCCCTAATGTAACAATCGAAATCATAAGGCTCAAGCTGAAGCAAAGAATAAAAATTCTCAACAACTTCATGAGCCACTCTTATCTCTACATATCTAGTACAAGTAAGAAATCCATGCTTTTCATTCTCAACTTTTCTTCCATCACATAGCCTACAAATTGGTTCACTCCTATCAATGTTTAATCAACGCCTTTCTTCAGTCCCAAGACTATAAGATCTTGTTCTATGCCTAGCAATAATATGATGTAAAGAAGTAAAGATGTCCGCAAGTAAATATCCTTGCTCACAATAAACAAGTATAGGATTCACATGATATTGATAAAACTCCATTCTAGTGCCTCATCTACTCCAAATAATGCTAAAAATCCTCCTTGATACTCTCGCGTAGGGCAATAGGTTGCAAATCCCAATAAATTAAGGTTTAAAAAACTTCTCAAAAATTCTAAACAAACATTAAACTGGTAGATCAGAATTTTCATATAATAAATAAAATCAAAGTTTCATGATATCAATAAGAATATTTCATGTATTTTATTTTTTAATTTACATATTTAGAACTTCCAATCTTGCATATATTATTTTTACAAAAAATATGATCAAGATTTTAATATAAATTATTTATAATACTTTATACTAATTTTGAATATCAATTAAATATTCAAAATCTCACATGAGCAATATATATAATCTAAAATTTATAGATATTGATAATAGGATTTTTAAAAACCAGGATTCAATCTAAGTTCCCTTTGTTTTAAAATGTAAATCAAAACTTATATTTTTTGACATATTATTTACCTTAAATTGATAAATAAAGTTATTGTAGTGAGAGTTCAAAATTGCTTTTATTGAAATTTTATTTATAATAATGTTATCTAAATCCAATTTTCTATTTATTAGCTTTATATAGAAATTGATAAACCTTCTCATTGATAGCTACCACATAATATACATAATCCTCATACACTACTCATACAAAAACTACATTGGAAATTGATCTAATGATGGAATTAGAGTGTTGTGTTTATGTTGTATCAATAAGAATATCATGTATTTTGTTTTGTTTCTTCTCATCAATTTTGTTGATTTAGAATGTTCAACTTCAATTAAGGGAATTTCAAGTTTTATATATTTTTATTTTTATTTTTATTTATTTATTTAGTGACATATGTTATGACTTTTGTTCTTTAAGACAGATGTTCACGAGTTACATTGTGCATCAGATACATCATTTTATGTGAATACTATAAATTTAAATTTGACTATTTAATTGAATATTCGATGCTATCTCTTCACCATTAATTCATTTTTGTGTGTTAAGAGTTTGGTTTTAGATATTTGTCTTCTCTCGCCTCAACACCAAGATAGTTTCATGTTGCGGAATCAATACAAATATAGAGTTTTTATTTTCGTAGTATAATTCAAGACAATATTTTAAATTCCTTTTGCGTGCTGCCTGGTGAAGTTTGGATCAAACACATAGTAAGGCGCGTACACAGCACATCTGATTCAGATATTGAATCGCTGGACTCGTCTCTACACTCGTCTCCTTCAAATTATAGTTTTCCTTGCAGCGTCACTGCAAGTTGAGATACTTTCAGTAAGATAGACTAGGCAGAGACCGGTAACTTGTACTAAGCATGTCAGAGGAGAGCGACTATATCGTTTGTGACGTGGTTATCTACCCGCGCTGAGTTGACCATTATTCGATCCAATCACCCACATCTGGAGAAGGTTCGTCTGACAAACCGATACGGTATGGATCAAATTGTATTCCTACAGCTGGTGTCCATCAAATCACGGAGAACAACCTGCCGCGAACGTTCATCTACCAACCTTGAAGAGAACAAGGAGAGAGATCCAGACCTTACATCTTCACACAATCCCTAACCTAACGTAGCAGGGACTTTGCTGTCCATACATGTCTCAGTCACTTGTATACAGTAGTTTCAACGGATGCTGGATAGCAAACCTCTACTGTCAAGGTCTGCCTGGCAACACATGGACGAAGGGGATACACCGTATCCTACTTTTGATAAAGCTATAAAAAGTTACAGTGGTCGCTCTGTAAAGACTTCGCAGACAACATTACACGATCGAGAAGCCGGAGCTGAACAATTCATATGCGGTCAAGCCTTCTGAGTAGAGAGCGAGAAAGTCGAATTCGTCTACAAAAACAAAGATTTTTCTATTCATCGGGCAACTAAGACTACTCATTTCAATTCTAGTCCCAGGTTTACTGCAATACAATTCCACCATGTGGTAGATATGGCGTGTAACTGGACGGAGTCGTTATACCGTGTGGGATCATTCAATACGCGCGGATAGGGGAGAGTGTGATGTTCAACAAACTAATAATGTAATCCTGGCATTTTGGCGACGATTGACAATAGCATTTAAACAGTACTCTGCTGGCCAGTATTTCTTCAGAAGAAGACAAGGCCTCTATCGAGAGGCCGGAAGTCGTTAACGTCAACCAATAGCAAATACCCCCTTCCCCTATACACTCCCATCATGAGAGTCGCCAAGAGACCAAATGTGTGAGGAGTAAACTTGCGCATAGCAATTTGAATCCCCACCAGAAGATAAGAAAACATCTGTTACTGTAGAAAGGAAATGGAAAACTCGGATAAGGTAGGAAAATATACAAAGTGGACGTTAAAACCAGCGGAATATGGTGAGATCAGATGCTACTGGTCGTTGAAGCGCAGTTCCAAAACAACCAAAAAACCACCTTCTACTGCAGGCATCGGTGGATGTCGAAACACGAGTTAAGCCTCAGCAGACTAAAGTGAAAAACAGGTTGAAACTCCTTTCCTCGGTCGTAGATACATGCATGACTGGACAGTGCGTCAGGGATCCTCAAAGTGAACAGATAAACTGCATCACTGACGGCGATACTGAACAAATTCGAACGACGTTATCAGAGGCTTCGGGTGCAATTCCCTCCTAAAACCGTAGGAGTTCCGACTCTGTCGAACGTTGGTGCGTGCTGGCTCTTATATGCATGAATGGGGGATGCCGGCTTGCTGGTTCACTCTAGGTTATAGATAGATGATAACATGGGCAACATTAGTTCACAACAAGTGATCACCTTTCAAGCTGTCAAAATGCAGCCAGCAGGTTTCAGAACTTCACAATGGCCTACACAATGACAGACGGCCTAATCTACCGATCATAACAGAAGCGTAGCAACATATATAGATTTTATTAGCTGTAACTTACAAGGCCTCCCGGTGAGCACATTGCCTGCGGGGCATTAGAGAAATGACTTAGGGCCCTGCAATCCTATAAGGGGCAAAAGGAACTATATCTTCTTGCCCAATGTGTGCTTATTATTATGCATCCAGACTTTGAGGACGTGCCGCTTCACGCCAATATCAGCACAGAATGCCTGCACTGCCGCCTCATCGTGCTTTTGTATCTTCCATCCCAACTTGTCTGCAAAGGAACACATCTTCTCCTTTTGCTCTGCTGAAAACTTGGTACGAAATCGCTTCTTCATCGCCGATGCCGGTCCTCCCACACCTCCATCCTGATCATCTGAGTCCGTTGGTACGGTATTCAGCGCCATTATCATCGGTGCAGGAGGCCGAGCGATGACAGTAGTTGCTGGAAGTGCCAAAGGAGTGTGCGGCATTGCTCCGGGTGTCCCTCTCTTCCTTTCCTTTCGAACATGATGACAATCACAGGAGGGTTCACCCTCCACTTCTCTTCTGTGAAAGTTCCGATGGCATTCACATGCCGCACACTTGAGCGCGTCCAAAGTTCCTTCTTCCCCGCTGGGCATAAATTCCCCGCATCCATCAATGGCGTGGCCCCCAATGCTGGCAGCATGGTTTTTGAGGCATTCTCTGTATTTGATAATCTTCTTAGCCTTACTTTCCAGAGGTCGGATATCCTCCATGCCGGTGCCGTTGCCGCTGGTCAGCAACTTCATCTTCGAAGACTCGTGATGGCCAGCGTAGCCACCTGACATCGGCATCTGAAGATCTCCTTCATGTGCTCCCAAATCCATGTTGCAAACCTCTCCCTACTCTTTAACCTTCCTGCTACATATCAATACTCTGCCTGGGTCGAAACGGCAGCCTACCATCTGCCCTATACTGCCGCTTTCTCTTTCTTAAGTCTACCAAACGAGCCTTCAAAGTCTCTCACGTACCACCTCGAGCTCGCTCACGAGTTCACACTCTACTAGTGAGCGTGCTCGAGCCTCCAAGGGCCTGAGCCTCTCAAATGTGTGGATCCATGGATACCCCCATGTTCGAGTTCACCGTAGAAACCCCCATCAAGTGACCCTGAGCAATCTGGTCAACACATGCACAACACCAGAGCGCTCGTTGTCAATTAAATTTCCAAACAGAAGGGCAGAGCTACGAACTGGGCCTCCAGGCAATGAGCTGTTCTAAATCGAGAAATGGGTTCATACAAGAAGATGCACATTGGTTACAGACGGTTTACAAGGTCTGAACTTCAACATTGATACAAAGACCTGCATAGCGCTATTGAGCTAAACCGACTCCTTCCAGTAGAAACTAGAAGTTTAGAACAACCACAAGCAGTTACAGATACACCCTCATAATTCACAAGTTTTCAGCCACAAAAGTGATTTCAAAACATGTCTCACTCTGTAAGATCGGGAAAGCAGTAAATGCTGAGGTAACAGCACTATCTGTGGACGTACGAAGCAGCGGATGGAGGTCATGACTGTGAACTTGAGACAACCAGGTGCAGGGAACAGCGAGGACAATGCAGTTGGCATGTTGCACAACAGCGACCTCCCAACTCTCGTACATTACAGAGAGTTTCCATCAACGGAGGGAGGGCAGGGAAACCTAGACAAACTAAAACAAAGAGGGAATCGGCATTGCCTTTGCAGTGGAATGCCGCGCACTTTCACGGAAAAGTTTGCGTGGACAACATACCCAAACCAGATTAAGAACACCGAAGTCGGATAAAAACCTATTCAAACCTATAAATATTTGTGTTGACAGAGTTATCACAGACTTGGACTAGAAGAACTCGGGGAAGAAGACATGGCAAGAAGTAAGAGAGACGCGTGATCAGATGAAACTCGAACCACAAGCATAGTATAAGTGAAGAGAGTCACCAGAAGAAAGTGGCGAACCTGTGGTTCGAGTGTGAGAAAAATATATTCTCGATGTTGTGAGTCGCCAAATTCAATACTATCATGAGATAGAAACAGGCGGCTGATGCGAGCAAGGAAGTCCGCAGGTTGGGGATGCGGAGAGATTACGCACTGTGATGTAATACGGTAACCGCGAAACTGACAGGGAAAGACAGGAGGTGTGAAGAGAAATGCGCGCCTTGAGGACTGTGGAGGGTTTGAAGTGGACGCTCGCCGCAGGGTTGAGCCAGGAGACAAGGCTTTCTTCAGATGCCGAGGGGAACGCTGTCCAACTTTGTCTAATGGAGCGAGAGAATAGAAGATGAATAGGAGGGTTACTTGTGACCCCTGGGTGTCCGGCACACAACACTCTCACTCTCCTTTGGGCCGACACGGAAAGCTCCGGAGGAGCGAAATGGTATCGCTGAAAGTACCAGGCCGGCGGGGTGCCCACGCGACGATTGCGAGAGGCAAATTTCGACGGTCAGGATTTGTATCTCCTTAAGATATCAAGCGCACACAATGAGATAAGGCGACTTGCAAACACAAACTAACGAAGGGTCTGCAAAGGACGAAGGGCAAGTGAGCAACGCAACTCGCAGGTGCTAAGCTCTCTCGCTCCTCGACCGACTTGACTATCTTCTGCTGACAGTGAAAGGAACTGAACAAGCTGCCAAAAGACAAACTTGAAATCCGCTTGAGAGGATTAGATGGGTGAATACTCGTCTGAACCGAACAAACCAAACCCAAGCCTGCCGCTGGCTTGACAAGATGAAGCAGCAAGCAACAGCAGCAGCAGCAGCAGGACTCGGATTCTAAGAGTCAGGGAACGACGACTTGGAGTCGAGGACCTGGGTTCCTTTCGAGATCTCGATTGCTCGAGCACCGGCAGCTCGGTAGGAAAAGTAAGAAGAAGAAGAGAGATGATGCCCGGCCCCGGGGGGCTCGGGGCTTGCTCAGATGGGGTGGAGTTTGTAAGTAGTGAAAAGAGAAGTGAAGGAGGAAGCTTGGGAGCTGCCTAGCCTTGAAGAAGAAGAAGGAAGAAGGAGGGACACACTACTACAAGGCCGGACGGACCAGTTCAGAACAGACACCACAGCCCACCACTCCACACAAGCCTCCGCTTTGCTTGGTAACAGGAGAGACAAAAAGGCAAGAATAGGCTTGGCTCACTCACCTCTGAGGGAGAAGGTAGAGGATGAAATGTGGATTGTAGTAGTATCAGAAGTTCACGAAAAAAAGCGAAAGTGAAAGCGAAACAATCAGGACTCAAAATCTCCCTCCCTCTCTCTCCGAAAACCAACAGCACTGAATCTCGCTCTCTCGCTCTTTTTCTTCGGAAAAACACACACTCCTCACACCCACACAGCAATCTACACTCTCCCCTCCTCTCTCGCTCACTCACTCAGTTGGTCGGCGGGGGCGCCGTTCTTCTTCCACTTTGCCTATTCGCACGAGCGAGAGAAGGAAGGGATGGGGAGAGGGAGGGAGAGAGCAGCAGCAGCAGAGCAAGAGGAGAGAGTAGACCCTAGGGGAAAAAAAGAAAAGCGGGATAGCTAACCCGAGGGTGCAAAATAATAAGTTAAGGTATCAGCCCCTCCGGGGGCCCTGCCGCCCGCCTCGGTGCCCGGTCTCCGTAATTATTGCCAGGAGGTAGGAATTACCGCCCCGGTCAGACTAGTCGGTCTCCTGACACATACACTCTTCCTCCCCCATCCGCTTGTTCTCTCTCCTTTGCCCGCCTGTCGCCTGCTGTCACACATTACCGGGAAACCTCTGTCTTCCGGTCGCCTCCTCGACGTGGGCCTTTGTTCGCCTTCCCTGGCAAGACGACCGAGTATGGAGTGTTTGTTTGGTCTCCGACGACGAGTCCAGTCCTTCCATGGAAGGGGGAGCACCATCACATTTCCCACACCATTTTGGACCTTCATTAATGAACAAAGAATGGGTACTTGCTCCCATCTCTCTCGCATCCCATTTCCCGGGGAGGAAGGATTGGCACGGGATGGGATGGAATAGGGTCCAATCACATGAGAGATGGATGGAAACACCATTGTTTTCAGGTCCTAGGAAGTAAAAAGTGAGATTTATGATAATGATGATGAACGTTCTAGATGGAAACTTGTCTTCTGTGCCCCCGTCCCAGCAAATCCGATCCCAGCAAATGATTAGCTTGGTAATCCCGTGTATGATTAATGTCTCGACGTCATTACGTTTCAGTTCTATGTTATTAAGCGGAAAGTGTACCAAGTAATAATCCACATGTCCAACTAGTTGTCATTACGGTGTCTTCCATCGATTTACTCTATCCAGTTGGCCCTCTTGCGCTGTAAACAAGATTACCTCGTAAATTTGCTGCAATTGTGTCAGCCCCAACCTGCGTCGTTTACTGTGATCCTCTCGAGTGTTGGATTTTGAGATTTCGTAGAAGCTGTTTGAGCGCCGTTCGTGTAGCTCATTTTCTCCTCTCTCCGGAGATAAATAATCCACCATTCCACACATGAGCGGATGATGCTACGGAATAGAAAAGAGAAATATGAAGTTTGACTACCGCCCTGAAGTGAGGACAGGACATAAATAAATTACTTCAGCACGATTCAAATACTACGACACTGTTCTAGGAATTAAGAGAGAATATCATGTAAGGAGACGGAAATCCCATTACTGTGTGTATAAGATAACCGATGAGAGATGGGGCATGTCAGTTGATGGGGATTATGACAACGGATGGGAGATATGGCATCATCGAGATCATGGGTATGGATGGGGATGGAAGTAAGTGGTGACAAATCAAACTCGTGATCAAATGAAAGCAGGTGGAGTGAGTGGCTGAGAGCGACCATGCATGCAGATATTTGTGGTGCTGGAACATTATATTAACCTTGGGTATGAAATAATAATACTTTTATATATCTCCCTTTCCTATCGCCAATGTGGGGTAAAAGGGTTATGATGTTGCTCTCACTACTACTACTAGATCATCATCCCCTCGTCTCCTTCCAAGCGCCACAACACCCCCACCCCCCACACCCCCGGTTCTCCCTCCCAGCGCCGCTCCCTATACCCGATCAACTCGACTCTGCCACACCCGTGATTTCTTCCCAGCGTCAACCCCAACTCGATACGGCCACCAACCCCAACTTGCCCAGACCCAAGGATGGTCACCTGTCTACGTCCCTTTCTTTTGGCCAGCTGTTGCCCTTGCATACCGCGATTCGCTTCAAACAAAGCCCTAAACATCAGTTTCGTGACGAAATTCATCTTCTCTGCTTTGATGCAATCTAGAATATGTACACAGTACGTTAAAATGGGTGCGGCTTTGAAACTGATTTCTCAACTTGGTACGATATACCATGGTTTGAAAGACGTAACGATAATCTGGTAAGATACGTATTTCCCTCAATTCGATGCATATCCCTAAACACTGTCCCTTAATTATTTATGAGTGACAAATACAGTACACTCTTTACACATTTGTGTGTAAATTGGAAATAGTATAAAATTATTCCGAATGTTTGTAATATTACATAATGCTTGAATGTAATATATTGTGAGTTCCGGAACTCACACGCTCTCCATCACTGAAGCACTAGAGTCGTCGTTCTTAAGCATCATTTGCAAAGTACATGTCATCATAGGTAACAGATTGTCGTCGGAATGTTTTGAATCTTACATTCTTCGATTTGAGAGTGTATTTGTTTTTTAGTGGCATTTACTTTGGATTTTTCTGTCATATTTTTGCAATTGAGCATTAGTTCAACATATTAGTCATTGGAATAGAGTAAAATTTCAATTTCAAAACTGGCACTGATCCACTAGTCACACTTATGTATAAATTCAGAACATATTTGAAATCTTTCTGGTATTTTCTTAAAATCTTAATATTAGTTCTAATTTTTTTTAAAAAGCATATTCTGAATTCTCTGATGAATTTGAGTTAAGCCAAAATCTAGCGTCTCAAAGGTTATTCTAAATTTTTCTTTAAATTTCTTATATTGATATGGTCATTACTTAATTTGTAATGATCAACATAATGTTAAATTAATGATTAAGAATTGATTCCGTGATGAAAATTCTGTTTAGCATTTAGTAAATTTTGAATCATTTAAGAACTTAATATTAATATTTGATTATGTTGGAGACCTTTTTTTTCAACTGAAAACTTAGTAAAAACTTCAGCAGATAATCAACGGCCACGGGCAGATACTACCAAGGTTGGTTTTGTATATTTAATAATGATCAGAAACTTGAATCAATCAACTTTCAAACTATTTTACAACTATCAACATTTTTTATGATTTCATAGAAAATAAATCCAAAAATTAACACATGCATTAGAACAATTCTTTCTACAACAAGATTGAAGAAAAGACTAGAGTTGTACTGTTTATCTTTTTTACCTAATAAGTTATTCCAAAAAACGTGAAATTATATTATTTCTAAAAATTTGCTAAAAATTTCAAAGAAAATTTCCTATAATGATAGAAAAATTAAAATTAACATAAAGTGTTTTATTGTAATTTATTTAATTTACAATAAATTGATATAAATATAAATTAAATTTATACAAATATATGTATTTTTTCTAATAGTCGATCTTGACATTAAAATTAGTTATAAAATGAATTAATTTTTTTACATAATGCTAAATATGATTTGATTTTTTTGTAAATTATCATAATAGAAAAAATTCACATTAAAGACTCATTATTCTAATAGAGCCAGAAAGATTTTCATTTAATACTTATTTTCTTATCTATATGTATTATCTCGTAGCAACTTGGATTTATATTGTATTGTCTCTGTATGTTTTGTGTAGTTTGTTCAAATAGGATTTTTCATTATACTTTTAAATTAATCAAGAAAAAATTGTATCTATTTTAAGCTATTCGGTGAAATTATTTAAAATTATCGTAATTAAAATTTTACACACATTCAATTATGGAAAAATACAAGATATTATAATGATAAATGTAAACAAAAATATCTAAGAACGTAATGATATGCTTATTAAATTAATTCTTCAAGTATTTTCAAGATAATTAGAAATTGATATTTATATATTATCATGTTCTTATTTATAAATGATTATTAAGGATGCAATTTTGAAACAAATATAGCATACCTTGCAATAAAGCAGTGAAATAATTGCTAATAATTCTTATATATCTAGTCAGTTTAGACTTGCATACCGATGCAGTATTCATTTGCTATTGTTACAAGTCAACAAAAAAAAACAAATTCATTGATATGAAAACCCGAAAGGTGCTATGTGCAGCAAGATGTAAGATATTATCTTAAACAGTTTCAAGATTGAGAAAAAAATTTTATTAAGACTTGCCCAAATAAAAGTAATGTATTCTTGTATAATTTCATTTAATTCGTAAAATAATTGAAATTTTTATGGTTTTATCATGTTTCGAATTATTCAGAAAATCACAGATATACAAGCTATAAATAAGATGATTTTATGTCAATAAAAAATGTGATATTAAAAATAAATTGGAAATCATTGAATTTTACATTTTATAAAGTATAAATTTATTTTCTATTTTTTTCTAAATTTATGTATGAATAAATTTTTAATATTAAAAATTAAAAATTCATACTTTAAAAATTATTTAATATATAATCTACAATCTATAATCTATAAATCTTTGACAGTCTACCTTAAATTTTATTTCTGAATCATATTGATAATAACATGATGTAAAACTTACTTGTAGGAAATCTTAAAATAAAATATATGATTTTTTAGAAAATATTTGAAAATATCGAACAGATATTTACATCAATCGATAATTTTAACTTTTTATTTTATTTAGTCATCAAAATTAAAAAAATTTAATTTTTTCCTCATTTTTTTGTTATATGTGGTGAATTTCAGAATAAAAAATCCAAATTATTGAAATTATTCATGCTCACACATGTATATATATACGCATTCAAGACTAATGAAGGTAGAGTAATGATAATATGAGGAATTAAGACACTTTTTAAAATAAAAATTATCCGTTTATTTCCAAGTGATAATACAACTTGTTTCATCTTGATATTAAAAACTATTTCAACGTGTTATAGATCAAATTACATATTTCTTTTATTCAGATTAGTCTATTAATGCAGATTTTTATTTATTGCATCATTAACAATCTGACTTATATTTTATAGATCAGGAAAATCGACTTTCAGCATTCATAGGACAACAAGAAACTTACACCATTTTGATCAAGACAGGTTGGATCAAATTTATTTAGAGATCAAATTGCATGTCCTTTACTTTGAAACTGAATTACTATGTTTTTATTTCAAAATAATAAGTAATATTCAAAATTTTAAAGAAAAGGCTTTATATTTATCATGTCAGGATCAATTGAATTTATTTTTATCTAGAATAAAATATTTTTTTCTACGTTAAATTGTAAAAAAAAATATTGAGAATACACTATTAGTTTATACACAATAGTTTATTTAAATAAAAACTATTGTACAGATTCAATTTTTTACGATAAGTTTTAGATTCAAAGGGGATCTATGACATTGATCACAATCTTGAATTCATTTAAAAAATTTTATCAATAGTCAAATTATATTGAAATATATAGAATGTATCAAATTGAAATATAATTGACTTTAATTATATAATATCTTTTAAAAAAGTAATTTTTTGGGGCATCTTTAGTTTCCCTTCTATTGCTTCATTTTCACGTTTTTATTCCCAGTACAAATGGTAATATGGAAACTTATCTTCAAAGTATTTCATTTCACAAGACATTTTGTCAAGAAGACTTGGAATAGATAAAATCTTGTATCCATTGCTATATATATATATATATGTAAAATATATAGTATTGAATAGACATAATT